ATACTGTCGATATCGATTGTTGCAACGAAACGTAACTTCACATGTCGATAAAAATTATTTATATCGAATGTCAATTATGTTATATCGTTGCAATGTTGCGATTTTGCCGTAATGGCAGAGTGCATAGAAATGGTTTTTACAGTATTAAAAATAATACAGAAGTTGGTGGTTGAGAATAAAATCTTTAGTGTCAATTGTCTTCTCTTGTTTTGATAATTTTCAGTGTTATATATATTTTAATAAAAAAATATTTAAATATTTGTGAAAGAGTTTGAAATTTCTGCATTGAAAAATTGTCATGACTCCATATTAGTGTTGGCAATTTGATATTTGGTTTGTGTACAAAATTACATTTAAGAAAAACAAAATTTGTAATAATAGTTCTGAAATTGTTTGATTATCCGCTTTTTCCACTAACTTCACGTCAATACTTTGTCGATAGAAATGATTTGTATAACAATCATAAACATGATGTACCTATTATATTAACGCAATATCGTCATTTATCAATTGAAATTGTTTTTGTAAATATTTGAATCATAACTTTAATAGAAACTATTTCATTCAGTGTTACATAAGTAACCGGCAGATATATAGATATACACGTGTATATTTTTTAAAGATATCAGTTAATTTATCAGCTTTAAGGGACTTTCTTACTGCAACCAGAGATAATATAAGATAATATGACTATTCACATAATTCAGGACTAAATGTACCAAATGAACTGTGTTGTCCAAGATGTACACAAGCTTGTATTACGAATACGGAATCTAAAAATTAGTTGAAAATACAAATCATCGTTATGCAAATAAACTTAATTAAAACACTTTTTAGGAGTCCTTTTTTATTGTACTCTCACATTCGAAATGCAGATCCGGCTGGAAATGGGGAAGAAATTCAATTATTTAATCATTTAGATTATAAAATAATTAAGCAATTCGATTTGAACATTATTCGCATTGTTAGATCTAAACAAGTGAAGTGGGTATTACGTAATACCAGATTTAGTAATAACTTGTAACTATGAAATATTTATGTAGTTTGAAATTACGATGACTGATAGTCGTATAAACAGAGTTTACTATCTCGTATTAAACTGTAGAGTTGTAAACTTGTATGTAACAACAATATTCTCGGGTTAAGATATAACTAAAACTAACTTTATTAGAAATAAACCATTAATAGGTGTATACTTTCAAACGTACTTTATAAGGGACTAACTTTAGTAGAAATAAATCTTTTATTATATATTCTTAACGTATTGTAAAAGATGGACATATTTAAACATTGTTTATTTAAGGTATAGTTTTGCTGAAACAAAAGTATCTACACAGCAAAAATAGTTATTATGAAGGTTGACCACCTATTATTAGAATTCTATATTTATACGATATAACAAACATCACTAAGGATGCACTTTATCCATTATCTGTACAATGGATAAAGTGGATAGACATTATTTTAAAAGTTTGTTTCTCCGTTGACAAAGCAAGCAAAGAATAAATTCTTAAAACTCATATCTTGTAAAAAGTTCTACAAATCTGATAGTAGCAACCATGATAACAGGGGGGAAAGGGGATTGTTAGTAATATGAAATGATGATCTTATTGCTAGCAATGTACCATGTCAAGTTAACCTCCACGCGGTTACCTCTGGAAACCATCGTGGTAAATTCTTGGTAAATTTGTCACGATGGGCTAACTGATCTGACCTCATGCTCATCTTATCATCATCCACTGGTGCCCCGTCAGCGTAAACCGTTAGCGCAGGCGGGTACATCATTCTATTATCTTCAAAAAAAAAAGATAACAAGATTTTTCCTGAGCGTAGTATTTGCAATGAGTTTCGCATTATATTGTAGTGAAGTAGTTTCAATTTTTAGCTGACACAAAATAGGTTTTAAAGTGAAGATAAGATGCTACGGCGTAGGCGGCGTGTACGTGTAAAACTTGTATGTAAAATTTGCTGTTATATTATCTTCCGTTCATGTCTATAAGATAATCTTTCGACGAACCATTATGACCGCATCTTAAATATCTACGGTACATAATTAACGTCTGCAAGAGAACGAAGTGAAGTCACTACAGTTTTATAATTAAACATCTTTCCTGTTTACTTTTCAAGCATAGTTTTAAAAAAAAACCTATTCAACGTTCCTTAATGAGGCGCAGTTCAGAAAAAGATTGACATGTTCGTTGTAAAATAACTTCTAATGCATATATCTTAATCTTATTATTAATATAATAATTGCGAAAGTTTGAAAGTAGGGATGTTTGTCAGTCTTTCCCGTAAAAACTACTGAACGGATGTGGATGAAACTTTACAGTAATATAGCTTAGAATAGAATAGTATATAGCCTACATTTTTTATTTTTATTTATACATATATTAAAATTTAACGCGGGTGAAGCCGTGGGCTCACCTAGTGTGTGATATATCTATTTAGAATATTCTAGAGTGTATATCATTAAATCCTTCGAACGTGGTACCTTCGTTATAATTTTATTTACCGACCTTACCGATTTGTCTATATACTTGCGATATCGTTCGTTTATTTCTTAACTGAAAATCAATTATGTAAACTAATGCCATTAAGTAGATTGGAAAGCTCTTACTGGTTTTTCAGTATTAGGATATTACTGTATTAATAAATTGATATTAATGATTTGGTAATATAATTTTCTTATGTCAACATTTTATTATTAGTCTAATACTATATGTTACTGGAGCGGGAATACAACTACTATTTTAATTAAATCAAATACTAGTAAAAATATGTATTAGTAAAATGTGTTTGTTATACGAAGAAAGTAACAAAACAATTATTCAAAAGTGACATATAAAAAATAGATAACCAAAATATAAAGTTTATAAAAAGAATGGTAGACAAGCTGCCAGTAACACTGTAAATACGATTAAGTATCTCGTGTTAATTATACAGGTAGTTATGAGATTTTTATGCACTTGATAATTTCTAGATGCATCTTCACAACGAACTATGAGTATTTACGCAACATACAACAAACTTTTATATAACTATTTTCATTTTACGAGAGCATTTAATTTACATCGCAAAAGAATGCTCTCGTAACTACCAATTAATGGGTATAGCACAAGTAATGTTTGTTTATACCCATTATATACACTATTCATTACAAAGACAAGAATTCTGCCTGATAAACAATTTATGTTTATTTCGTCGTTTTGTATTCACCAAAATACTGCAGCCAACTCAAAAGTTAGCACTAGAAATGCATCAAACAAATTAGTTATTAAATGCAAAGTATTCATTCTATTTTAGTAAATATTTAATATTGAAAAATACTAATATTATGTTAACTTATAATGACCAAAATTTTTATTATTCTGATCATATAATATTTCTAATAATTTTGTTATTCTATTTAGAAATAAAAATAATTGAGGTAAGTAAATACAATTATAATAAAATTGCGCTGTAATATGCTTACTTATTATAACTGTATTCTGGAGTTCATATTTATGAAGAATCGCTTCTTTTATTACATTCTGTTTCTTCAAAGCAATTGCAAAGAAATCTTACACCTAAAACAATTACAGTATCTTGGATCGCCGTGTCTGTTTTTATATAATAGTTGAGTTAATTTTTGTTTGTACAAAGTAACAATTACGAGCTCTGGGTAAGTTTAAACTGCACTTCTAATGCTTAGTTCACTTTAAACTTTGTTTGCTTTAATAAAATTGCATGTGCATATCTGTAGTAAACCGAAAGCCAGTTATTATTTGTAAAACGGAATAGCTATTCCGTAGAACTCAATCGAAATATAAATCACTTATTTGAACGTTTGAAACGAGCAAATTGCGCCAATTACAACGTGCGATTCGTATTCATTGGCGCTGTTCGCTTGTTTATTTGCCATAGCTGGGTTTCGAAAAGTTATTTATCCTTTACATAGAACATTTTAATCAATGCTTAGCTTTTATAGAAGGGATAAATACATTTTTATTATATGTTTAGGTATGTTTTACACTTAGGAATGTAATATTGATTTTATTAGGGCATAATGAATTTACTCAGGTGTCCATCAATGTTAGGTATCGTCTATTTCCGTCGACAATACTAGACTTACGAACACTAATTTTCATATAAAAAATCATTTATTAATGTAGGGCATTTTAGGTGTAAAATTTTTTGTATTAATGTTTATATTTTTCCCTTCCGTTGCAAATGTATTTAACCCAGTTACTGTATATACAAGATTTTTCCTACATTTTTATTTAGATTAGCAATAGGAAATTGCAAGCAGTCCTTGAATAAAAATAAAGTAATAAACAACTGAGGTCGTTTATTTCTTCTCAGTATCTCGCGTGATTATCTTACGCTTGAAGACGCGCGAAGACTATCTAGTAACTATTGATTAAAGTTTATATCCCAGTTCACTCACAAATCCAATGAAATGTCCCTTCCGAATCCAGTTCATGAGTTTTCTGAGTCTATGTGTTGGTATAATTCTCATTTAATATCAATAAGTGGAGTATATTATACCAGGAGTAATATTAATATTGTTGGAGTAATAATAAAATGTTATTCTGAATTCTATCTATAATGCCAGAACATAACCCCTCCGTATTCAGGGGAAAAATAAAAACTAAATACGAGTAGTTGCTACTGCATTTCTAGGCAATATATAAAAGTTTATTAAGTTAGAAAAAACTCATTTGTATGCTTAAATCTTTGAAACTACGCAACGGATTATGAAGCGGTTTTTTTTTAATAGATAGAGTGATTCAAGAGGAAAGTTTATATGTATGATACATGTACATCCGTACGAAGGATAGGTAGCTAGTTTATAATAATTCCTTTCTAATAACTATGTTATGCATGTCAAACATATGGATAGATTCGTTTATGTGCATCGATGTTGTCATAGAAGTAATTGTAGTCTTAGTTCATATAAGTCTTCAATATTTAATTTATGGAATATTACAAATTATTTTAATGTAATCTATTAATTGTAGGCCGACTATGAGCTGTCAAACATACTGTTGGAGTTCACGAGGAATGGGGTTCCGCCGCTGAAAGGATTCTGCATCGCCAACGTGCCTGACGAGGCAATGAGATACATCTATTGGACTGACAACCCTGACTGCCTGGATGACCTTTATGACGTGAAGAGTGAGTACTTATTTGACTTTTTTTATACATCTATGGTGGCAAACAAACATACGGCCTATCTGATGGTAAATGGATACCGTAGCCTATAAACGCCTGAGATAACAGGGGTGTTAATTTGAAAACCCCCATGCTGTAGTCTCGTGAGAAAACCGCGGCAGGTACTTCATTGCCATCATGCCAGCGCGTGCTTCTTGCACATTAACATTGTGCTGGCTTCACAAGATTTAAATTACCTTCATATCTGCATGCACTCGTACGAGCTTCTCACCATTTCTTCGATTCTATTTTCTATAAAACGCCCATTATGCGCGTTTTTATAAAAATGTATTGTTCGGAAATGGTATGCTATTAGAATACTGCGTAGTTCAATGATGGGTATTATTGAACTGCTATGATACTGTGACTTCACACGGGTTCACATTAACATACGACTGATATAAAAATTGAAACTAGTATTTCAAAAATATGTGTAAATATGTGCTTTCCTCAATAATATAAATATTTTGTAATGTTGAATTTTTTTTTTGTTTACACAATTCAAAGAAGTCTTGCAGTATCTTTTCGCTAGGTTATAATCTATGAAGGATTTATTTTACTCTTTACTGTACTAGAAATAAATTACAAAAACATTTTCCTGTTCCTGTTCCTGACAACCTTTGCTTAGAGGAGAGAAGACAGAAAGTGTAAATTATCATATTAAGGATACACAATCCTTACACAAATGGCCACCTAAATCCATATATACGCATATCCTATGCTACAAATAGATATCCAAATATCACAAAAACTTTCATGTTAACGGCCAACCGCTTTCCACAGAGAGTAAGGAGCGATCGTTAATAGACCTCCGACTAAGGCGACCTCATTCCAGAGGGGTTAAAATAGTAATTTTACACGATTCATTTTATATACGTATACACGAACGTGTTTCATTTCAAGAACAAGGCGCTTAACTAAATGTTTTAAAATATATTTTATTCCTTTAGTAATAGTATCTACCTATTTCGTAACGACTCTAAATATTGACTTTTTTCTATCACTTACCCATAAAGTCTGTTCAGTACTTATTGTTTTAGCGGGTTATCCTTTATATTCGTGAACGGATGTTGCTTGCACTGGTCTGTTCGGGTTACGAACACTGATTAGACTATTTGCCTTTGACAAAGTTGTTATAACATATGCTGATTATCACTCTATTGTCTCAAATTTGAATTTAAAATTGGATCTATATTATTGTAAACATGTACAACCATATTTGAAAAGAATACGAGCTGTGTTACATGTCAGTTCTTCTCATCTCGAAAACGTTCTGAACTGACGATAGATTTGAGATATCATAGGAGTTTGTAATGGACCTACATGAATAAAGATATTTTGATTTGATTTGATTTATTCATAATAATAGAATAATTGTTACTACGCATAGATTACTAGCAACGATGATAATCTCTGATACTAATCAAAATGGATGTTTTCATTCGAAGTCGTTGCGTATTCCAAACACAATATTGAGCGACTAAATAAGTACAGTTCAATCGAATTGTATTAAAATTTATTATGTAATGTAATGAATTTTAACATTATTTTAATCAACGAACGTGGTTGTAATTCGATATCACTGCAAATGTTGTTATAATTTATAAATCAGTATTTATTCATATATGTACAATCTTTAAAATAAATTACGCAGCGTTTGGGATATGATAATTTATTTTATTTTATGTAAAAACTTATGTACTGTACCGATGGATGTTGTATAAACCAATAAATATTACATTAACTCCAAGTATATATCTATGTTGTTTGTTACAAATATATATATACATATAAAAGTAAAAAGAATGTCAGAGATGATCATCCATTACGTTTGATACACGGAAAAGTAGTTTATATAAATTAGTTCTATTTCTAGAAACTGCCCACTAATAATCCTAGTTGCCGGTTGGCCCATAAGTCTGGAAAAGTATCGATAGATCTTGAGTCGAAGTAGACATATGCCAGGCCATCCACAATTGATGATCCTAGTTCGTAACACAAGAATACTGATACGTGATCAACGCGTTGGAGACCCGCTTTGGACTCCTTTACTGCTTAATCAACTAATAATTCTATATTAAGTAATGAAATAAAAATACATGTTTAAGCATACAATATTGTGTTTGGAATACGCAACGACTTCGAATGAAAACATCCATTTTGATTAGTATCAGAGATTATCATCGTTGCTAGTAGTCTATGCGTAGTAACAATTATTCTATTATTATGAATAAATCAAATCAAATCAAAATATCTTTATTCATGTAGGTCCATTACAAACTCCTATGATATCTCAAATCTATCGTCAGTTCAGAACGTTTTCGAGATGAGAAGAACTGACATGTAACACAGCTCGTATTCTTTTCAAATATGGTTGTACATGTTTACAATAATATAGATCCAATTTTAAAATAATGAAATAAAAATACGCTTAAACATTATAACATATTGGATTTATGCCGCGGCGTTGCCCGTGTTGAATTTAGAATATGTTTCTGATTAGTAATGTAGTTTTCTAAAGGTGTGAGATTTACTAAAGCTTTCTCGGCTTACAATTACAAATGTAAATTATAGTTTTTTATATCATTAATGGACCAAGCCATCCATACCATGATCTGCACGAGCAATTCATGATCCATAATGTAAGGAGCTCAAGAAAATAAAAATATATTACGCCGACCCCAAATGATAGGATATGTTAGAAGCAGATGATTACTCGTGTTAAATTTCAATAAAAAAATAGCAAATGTGTTATTCTGATGGCTAAACTATATTACTGTAAAGTTTCATGAAAATCTGTTCACTAGTTTTTGCTTGAAAGAGTAACAAACATCCATACTTACAAACTTACGCGTTTATAAATTGTTAACATTAAGATATAGTATTAGTATTCATAGTTATACTATATCACATAAGATATAATATAGTTTGAGATTAGATTTTACGGTGTAATATGTACAGTGTTGTTTATTTATTTTTGACAGTTTATGGCTACCATACTCATATATATTTTATGGTGTCGTCATATAGCCTATAGCACTCCCGCAATTAAGATGAATTCGACGACATCCCGTTAATTGAAGTCCATCAAGCCATTTTGAGTTCACGTTGAACCAAAATACGAGGAAAACTATATATCAAAATAAGATATGCATAGAAATTAAACATATATTGTGTGCTTTATCTATACATCTATACATATAAATAAAATTGAAGTGTCGGTTTGTAATATTAAAATAAACGTTTTTTACTACATGCATATGAATATAAATACGGTACATACACCAAAATAATTTTTTTTACAATTTTTGTTTGTTCCGTCTAATCTCTGAAATGACTGGACCGATTTTGACGGGATTTCTTTTGGCAGGTAGGTGATGTAATAAGGAGTAACTTAGGCTACATTTATTTTAGAAAAAATAAAGTTAAAATCCACGCGGACGAAGTCGCAGGAACAGCTAGTGTGATATAAAATTACAAATTTAATGATTTTCATTTCTGCAATTCTTATATATTTGATCACATAAAAGTCCTTAATAGTGTACTTATGAAGATACAAATCTATGTGTCTTGACTATCGATCCTAAAGTCCCACTATCGATCCTAAGTTATACCCTTAGGGGTGAAATTTATCAAAATTCTTTCTTAGGGGATGCCTACGTGATAGTAGATTTATGCATGCAAAGTTTCAGCCCGATCGGTTTAAAATTGACAAAGTTTCATACAAACTTTCATCCCCTATTTTATCCCCTTGGGGGTAGAATTAATCAAAATCCTTTCTTAGGTTAGGCATCGGCCTTCGTCATAACATCTACCTGCATGCCAAATTTCAGCCCGATCCGTCCAGTGGTTTAGGCTGTGCGTTGATAGATCACTATGTCAGTCACCTTTAAGTTATATATATAATAAATTATAATTCCTCGTAACTTTTTTACCTTCTCACCAAACAATCTTAGACTTACTATGTACTTACCATTATTACGGACTCATTAAAAAACCTTATGACGTAACGTAATAGTAATGTGATTGTAACAAATTACTGACATATTTACATATTATTAGTTTACGTAAAACGTTGCACTAAAATAATATAGTACATGAAAATGGATCTTAAGACATTTGCTTTCCGAAAGAGCGGTAGATTAAAAAATGTAATGACTATTCAAAAGTACTTCAATGTAAGTTTATTTGAATAAATGATTTTCTATTCTATTCTATTCTTTTGAAGTCCATATTTTATATAATAACCACCACTTGTCAAGTCAAGTGTGAAAAAGTGCAGCGATTTATCGTAAATGTAGTGATGGCAGTCAGTTAGCCTCGCTAGTTAGGAATCCCATGCGAAACATTCAAATAGAATAGAATAAAAGATTATTTATTCAAATAAACTTACATTGAAGCACTTTTCAGTAGTCATTACGTTTTTTTTCCTATCTGCCGCTTCGGACAGCTCACTCATCACAAGAAGAATGAGCAAGAATCTTGCGTGTTTCTCTTTTAATTAATTTTTATATTTCTTTACATTTTTAAGTAATACTATATCTAATTTACATAAAGTCATTTTTTATTATTATTTATAAATTAATTTTAAATTTTGACTTTTTCTAAAATGGGGGAAACACGTCACAAGTCTCGTACTCTCCCACTTTGAATGCTTTGGGAAACTCAAGTGAAATTACAAATGTGATATTTTTTAAAAATAAACAATTATAAAAACGTATTGCACAGATTTTATTTTAAAGGGAAAACAACTATAGTTATCATTGTTATAGTTATTAAAAATTTCCAGCTTCGTTTTTCATTAATCATTAGGTACTAATTTGAAATGACTCCAATACATCTGTAAACACTCAAGTGAAATTATAAATGTGATATATTTTTAACAATAACAAATGTATTATACTTATAGAACTGATTTCATTTTCAAGGGAAACACAACTTTAGTTATCTTTATTATATTTAAA